GCAAGAGAGATAACCGCACCCTGGAGAGGATTGTGAAACAAAACCCATTCAAAAATGTGGGGGAGATTCACAAAGAGTGGACTGCAGCTGGAGTGAGTGCTTCAAGAACCACCACACACAGACGTATGAAAGACATGGGTTTCTGCTGCCGCATTCCTTGTGTCAAGCCACTCTTGAACCACAGACAGCGTCAGAAGCGTCTTGCCTGGGCTAAAGAGAAACAGGACTGGACTGCTGGTGAGTGGTCCAAAGTCATGTTCTCTGATGAAAGTAAATTTTGCATTTCCTTTGGAAATCAAGGTCCCAGAGTCTGGAGGAAAAGAAGAGAGGCACTTCATCCACGTTGCTTGAAGTCCAGTGTAAAGTTTCCACAGTCAGTGATGGTTTGGGGTGCCATGTCATCTGCTGGTGTTGGTCCATTGTGTTTTCTGAGGTCCAGGGTCAACGCAGCCACATACCAGGAAGTTTTAGAGCACTTCATGCTTCCTGCAGCTGACCAACTTTTTGGAGATGCAGATTTCATTTTCCAACAGGACTTGGCACCTGCACACAGTGCCAAAGCTACCAGTACCTGGTTGAAGGACCATGGTATCCCTGTTCTTAATTGGCCAGCAAACTCTCCTGACCTTAACCCCATAGAAAATCTATGGGGTATTGTGAAGAAGAAGATGCAATACACCAGACCCAACAATTCAGAAGAGCTAAAAGCCACTATTAGAGCAACCTGGGCTATCAACACCTGAGCAGTGCCACAGACTGATCGACTCCATGCCATGCCGCATTGCTGCAGTAATACAGGCCAAAGGAGGCCCAACTAAATACTGAGTGCTGTACATGCTCATACTTTTCATGTTCATACTTTTCAGTTGGCCAACATTTCTATAAATCCTTTGTTTTTATTGGTCTTCAGTAATATTCTAATTTTCTGATATGATGAATTTGAGATTTTCATTTGTTGTCATTTGTAATCATCAAAATTAAACAAAATAAACATCTGAAATATATGAGTTTTTATGTAATGTATGAATATAATATACAAGTTTCACTTTTTAAATGGAATTACTGAAATCAATCTACTTTTTCATGATATTCTAATTTTATGACCAGCACCTGTACATCTACAGTGTTCATTTCCATTCTTTTTAATATTGCAATTCATCCCTATTTTTTTTTTCTACATAGCATTTTTTACATTTATTTTGTCCTTCCAACTTTTTTGATAAATGCATGCCTTATGCAATTACTTAACTTTATGTGACTATTTTTGCACTGAGAACCGAACTGTGCCCTGATTTGTTCTTGTGTACAAGTTCTGCCTTTATGATGACAATAAAGACTCTATTTATGCATATCTATCTAGATAACAGCAATATGAATATCAAATATTTGTCAGGGTTTGGTTGTGGTAGAGGACCCAAATGCAGAGGCAGAGAGGCTGAGGAGATTTCTTGGGAGTTTAATGGGGCAAAAAAAACAGTAACAAAGGCAGGAATGCAAAAATCCAACTAATAATCAAAGCAAACCAGAACAATGGAGACATCTGGGGGAAACCAAACACGAGGAGCCAGGGAGAGACGAGGAACGTGGACAACAGCACGGGAGGACAGCAAAGACAAGGAACCAACCAAGAGTGAGAGCAGAAGGAGAGCATATATAGCAGAGAGAGACAAAGGGAGGGCTAACGAGCAGACAAGGAGCAGGTGTGAGAAGAGACAATGAGGGAGCCAAGGGGAAAGGAACACACACACACAAGAGGGCAACAGAGGACAACAGAAAAACATGACAACTAATATAAATCTAAAAATACAACAACTGGAATTAAACCAATAAATCTAGAAAACAAGGAGCAAAGTAAAGAACAGCAGAACAAAGACCATGACAATATTAAAATCAGACCAGATTTTCATATTGGTGTGGCCATAGATTTAATTAATTATATATTTAAATGTTACGTCTATGGATTTCCCATCTTATTTAACTAAAACAGTCGAACATCCATTTGAATAACGGTCTGCCCCCAGGGTTAAGTCCCTCCCTGCCCAAAAAATGCCACTGCAAGGGATGGTGTGGTTTTGCTCTGGAGTTATCCTTTGCAAATATGCACAAACTAGAAACGGAGGGAAAAGGGGAGAGGATTCAGGAAGAGAGAGGTGTCGTTTGTCACACATCTTTCTTTGGTTTACATAAAGTGCTCAACAGCGCACCTAGTGGTAAAAGAATTCGGTAATTTCTTTAAATGAGCTCAACAATTTACATTTGTATGTTTGTTTGTTTCCCTTTGGTCTCGCTCTCTTCCTACTAAAGAGTCTGGATGACAAAAAATTTTACTCATTTCATTCGTCTCCACTCACTCCTCTCTTTATTCTTCTTTAGCGTAGCGAGTTTAGCCTGGGAGCCTCGCCACAGAGACTTGGAAAAACAGAGATGGAATTGGTTTTCAAAGCTGCAGTTTGAGAGCACTTTGGATTAAAACCCAATGACAATGTTATTGTTTATCGCAATAATTTCTGGGATAATTTAGTGTCAAGCAAAATTTGTGACAGGTCTACTCATTGAAATAAATCAATTCAAATTTTAAACTTCAAGTGGAATCTAAAATAAAAAAAAAGAAGAAAAATGCATCCAATGTCCAAATCCTGCTGCCTGTAGTAACATTTTATTCCCCATAGATTCTTAAAGTGCATTCTGAAAAAACTTAAGAGGTTGCCTATTTATCAAAACAGCTACAAAGGGATGTAAAACCGGATCATCAGTCTTGATGAAAATTCCCTAATAAAATCTGACAAAAATGTATTGTTACACATAACAAAATGATGCTGTTTCACAAACGAGCAAATCATGAAATGAAGGTGGAAAATTGGAAAAGAAAAAAAATGTCTCTTGATCAAAGGGCCACCAAAAAAAATTCAATCTTTTTAACAAACTTAAATACTTGAGTGTAACTGTGGTATAGTTATTTATTTATTTATACTATTCCTTAATGCCTTCGGCTTCCCTGTTAATGAAAAGCAGGTCCCACAGCATGATGCTTCCAACCATGTGACCTTATTGCGGTGTGTTCAGGGATTTACATTTTATTCAATAGTTTATTTTTAAAGTCAACCCCAAACATTTTACAAAACCAAACAATGGTGCTACTTTTCTGCCAGCTTTGATCTCATCTGACTGTCACACACTTCCTAAAGATTTCGCTGTGTCTTCTACATGAGTTGGGGTCAACTTCTTAAAGCCAATTTATGCTTTTGATGCATAGCCTCTGCAAACGTCAAATCTGTCTCTGTGCACAAAGAAATTCTGACTAAGCGTAGGACGGTTGCAAACCTGCGCAGACCTCAAGTGGAAATGCGCAGTCAAAAAGCAGCTGTGACTGGTCCTTGGTATGCCTCTCCAGCTGTCTGTGTGGTCGTCCTTCTCAATTCGGTGCTGGGGTGCGCCATTTTTAAAACCGAGGAGCAACTGCAATGGACAACTATAACGAAAGGTTAATCGGTCTTTTTGCCAACTCCATTAACAGAAACTGTTACTCTTCGATGTCTAGCAGTTCTAGATTCATCTCCGTGACCGTGATATCTTGCAGAAGCTCCATTGTTGTTTTGGAAGATAAACACTCCCGCCAGTGCCCCTAATTTCTCGTGCCATCCGCTGAAGTTCTCGCGAGTTCTCAAATAGGCTCCCCCTAGCGCTTTGGCAGGCAACTGCGGTGCGTCCCTAGAAATTCCAGAACGACGGTGCAGAAGCATACCAAGAAAAACTGGTTTGCGACCAGACCCAAGTGACATTTGATGTGTGCGGTTGCAGAAGTCTAATCAGGCCTTTAGACTTCCTTAGACCTCAAACAACAATTTTCTTCCAGCCACTGTGACTAGAGTATGACCAGTAACAATATGCTCCTCTGAAAAATGCTCCCCTTTTTTCAGCTTGTCAGTTTTACGTGTTTGCAGTGTGCAATCCTACCCTCAAATCAGCTTTAGATGATGGATTGAACAGCGCTCTACAAGATGATTAAAATTCTTAAATCTCCAAGATTATTTTACCTGTTGGCTTTTCTGCTGTGTTCAGCTTTAACAGTAGAATTTGTTCCCAATTTTTTTCTAAGATACATATAATTCCTCCACAGAATAGTTGAGTTTGAACTACTAATTACACGCCTTCTGAGGCAAATTGGATTTTAATCAGGGGTGTCATAGTAAAGCAAGCTGAAAAACAGAACAAAAACGAATGCCACATTTTTCAGAATTTCCTCTTAACAACATTTGGAAAACAAAGGTATTTAATCACATTTCACAATAAAATACATTTAAAGTTGTAACTTGACATAATATTCAAAGGCTGGAAGTGGTTTTGCAACAGTAATATAAATGGTTAACGATTTATTCATCGATTGAATTTTGGCACTATTGGGACGCCATATCATTATCCCACTTTTATCAGCGTTGAAATTAATCTGATATAACTGGAATAAGACAAACTAAGGAGGGTGTTTTTCTTTTTTTTCTTTATTGTTATTAATGTTTTTTTCTTAGAAAATCAGGTTATATTTTGGAAGTTTGGTGAAAGTAAAAAAATGCAAAATGTTAAATTATGATTATTTAGATATAAAATAAATCAGCTCTTCTCATCCTTGCGTATTTTGGTATCATGTTCTAAACATCAGGGCAAACAGTGTGTGGGAGCGTGTGTTATGTATGTTTGTTATCAACCACTGCCCACAGGATAAACAGTAACAGTCTATTTTTTAATGCAAAGCAATAGATCACAGTAGATATCAATGCACAGCAGATAACTTAGGAAGAAGTGCCTCATTAGCAGCTTTCTAATCTGGTCCCTCTAATCACGCACTTACAGGGCCACTTGTGTCTGCTCTGATTCAGGAAAGCATACATTAGAACAAATCAGCCGAAAACAAACCGCAAGCTTTGCCTTCTTTGTTTTTCTATTTGAGATATGCACATTTGACAAAGAGCTGACAGGCTTTATCTCAATAAGATAAGGTTACTCACTCAGTCAGTGATTTTGGGGGTAAAAGAAATGATGGAACCGGGGCCCATGTATATATCCACCCACCAACGACGATGTTTTCATTGCAGCAAGCGGCTACAGTAACTGGATCGTGCGGCTGACCAAGCTGCAAGCGCATCGCCTAGGCAACAGCTTTGAAGGGCGCCGCCGTCGACCAATCAGAGGCGCTCCGAACCTTTGTTTACACACACGCCCCCTTCTGTAAGGACCAATCAGAGAGCGCTAAGGCTTCACCGGGGAGAGAGGAGAAGGGAAAGGACTGACTGTGGACTGTGAGGCTGTTTTCGTGTGAAGTGGGAAATGATTGTTCCAAATTCACTATTACATAATTCACAATATCACACCCTGCATCCACTATGATGACATCATTCATCCAGGGGTCAATGGGACTTGAACCTGCAACCAGGGTGTAACTTTGTGATGAATTTGGTGGGGACACTCTTAGGGTGGGGGCTGATGGAGGGTTTATGTTTTCTAAAAATGAGCTCAAACATATATTAATTGAATGCTTTCCTATTATTGAGAACACAAAAAACCCAAAATACTCTGATATTTATAGGTAGTTAGACATTAATGTATATAAAAAAGGATGAATAAGTCCTTCAAAAGCTGCAAAATGAAATCTAGAAATTTGACCCACATATTGCCAAACTCAATGTAATGAAATTATTGATGGGACTGTCCCTACCAAACTATAGGAATGGTCTCATGTGTTTGCCATGGAGTATTAACTAACATTTTCTCTCACCTGCAACATGAAGGGTTTCTGGTTGTATGATGCTTGACTGATAGCTGCATGAAATCTATGCTCAGCTATAAACAAATGTAAACATAGATGGATTCTTTTGCTGTTCTTTTTTTTTTCAGTGGGTAAAATTAGGAACAATATCTCAACACCATTTATCTGTATGCCTCTATCTAACTTTCACCTCCTCCTCAAACTTTCTCAGCATTTATCTTTACTTCTGCTGCCACCCTCAGGATTTAACTGAAACTTAAATCCAGCCTTCTGTGTATTTAAGTTTGGATGATTTAATAAGATAAACTCAAAGAGACTGGTTTTGATATAGCTTGATAATCTTTATCAGTCCATCTGACAGATGTTTGTGCTTCGTCGATCAGGCCACTGCAGATTTCTTAATTCAATTTGGTTTATTTCTATAGCGCCAATTCACAACATGTCATCTCAAGGCACTTTACAGTTCAACCAGATCACCCAGTCAAATTGATTCAAAGTTTTATATCTAAGGAAAACCAGTTGATTGCATCGACTCATTGACTCGAGTGCAATCTCTAACACTAAGCATGCTTGTAGCGACAGTGGAGAGGAAAGACTCCCTTTTAACAGGAAGAAACCTCCAGCAGAACCAGGCTCAGAGTGAGCGGCCATCTGCTGAGGCCGACTGGGGTTCAAGGAGACAGAAGCAGAGAAACAAAAAGCAGCTGTAAATCGCAACCCCATCCAGGAAACACACAGCCAGGCAGACGAGCTCCGAGCCAGCTCCCATGTCAGAGGATAAAGAGAGCATATCCAGCCAGTCACAGTCAGAGAAACAGGACTACACTGGAAAACAAGCTTATATCGAACATCTATAAACAAAGGTGTTGATGGCAGCAGCACAGCTGATATTTCTCTCCAGGATGAAGTCACAGCCGAACAGAAACAGACGAGGTGAAGCTACTATAGATAGATGTACTTTATTTATCCCAATTTGGGAAATTGCAGAACTATGAGAAAAAGCGGAGAACTTACAAATTTGCTGATTTCAAATAAGTCCCTGTCGAATATTAAAAAAATTTCAGGCAAATTGACAGCAAGAATCACTTTTTATTTCAAATGCTATAAATACTATACTAAAATACTATAAATAAATATAAATAAATCTTGCTCTAGCACAAAGTTCTCACATTCTTTTACCTAAAACTTTCCCATGTTAATGTTTTTATTGGGATTTTTGGTGGTAAACCGACAGAGTGATGCGTCACTGTAAAGAGGAAGGATAATATCAGCCTCTCGCATTAAATCCTGATGGTGGAATGTGACAGAATGGGAAAGCTTTTCAGAGGTATGAAGACTTGTCTGTTGATCAGAAGATCAGATCAGAATCAGGTTTATTGCCATTGTTAGTGAAGGAGTTCACAAACTAGGAATTTTTTATGGTACAATCGTGCAACATGAAACATATAATATGGAATAGGTAAATAAAATTATAAAAATATCTAAAACACTGTGGGTATAAGGCATGCAATAAAATAGACAAATATATGCTCTTAAGATAAAAATTTGGATATAAAGTATAAAAAGTAAAATAGCCTCTTCATGTTCATCTACCTGTTCTTGCAGCTCCAGCTGATGGTCTGCTCCTGAAGACATACAACAATTCCCAAGAAAAAGTTTAGCGCTTTTTCCCTAGGATAAATGTGATGAGACCTGTGTATTTTTAATCTTGAAATTTTCTTCTTCTTTTTGACCATGAAGAGCTTAAATACATAGGCTATTTGAGGAAAGGCTTGTAATCTACTAGAAGCTCTGTCTCAAAGTGAGCTCTCTCTTTCACTAAGTCCTCTTGATGTCCAGTTCTATAAACACCAACCTGCATGTTCACTTTTGTTCCCTGAAATCCAAAATAATAATAAAAAAACTGACTAAAACATAAAGAAGGGGTAGGAGTGAACAGGACAGTAGAAAGTAGAGGAATAATTGTTCTAATCTCTCCAACAATAACAATGGTAGTTTTGTTTTAAAACCGGCTTGTTCATCATTTATTAAAGTTACTCAGAGTAGATGATAACTCAATCATTGTTCTAAAATAAGAGTAGCCATATTTTATAGATATTTCTATACCATGTCGCCATCTGCTGGCAGCTTTTACTCACACATCCACTAACTTGATTCATTGATTCAGTGATTTATTGGCAGCTTGTGCAGCTTTACCTTCTGCTTCAGTGAACAATGTTTATTCTGAACACAAGCTTGATTAAAGGTTAAATTACTGACTGTTAAGGGCTACTGTTTTTCAATTTAAGACCTTTTATTTTTACATGTTGTCTTTCTTACTGCTATATACAGTATACTAAGTATGGGAGCCGAGCATGTATATATTGTCGTACTGTAAATAGAAGTGATCCTGCTTGATTTGCTGTAGAATGACATGGGCCCATTTATTTTTAATTATTTGATCTGCCTTTACGATATCTTAAATTGTTTAAATTTAAGATATCGTTTACAGGGTCAAGTAATTCATATGTGTATGCTTTTGAGAAAATAAAGTACCTGGGTAATGTTAATAGATGAGAAATGGAAGGAACTAAGGTGTAAATCTTTGATCCCTCTTGGTATTCTATATTTTTTCACTTTTACACTTGTAAAAAGTCCCACATCTTGGGAATTTTCTTCTTTCGTTTCACATCTCAGCTGGGTAAAGGCTCGTTTGGTTGGCTCCACTTTCCTGTTTATTAATTGTAATATGCGTAGTATCATACCTCTGATCATATGGGCATCTCACCTTAAATACAGGATGACATAATTTAAATGTAAAAAAAATCCTTTGGTTTTAAAAAGTGAGCTTCTGGCATAAAAAAATCATTAAGTGTTAGTGTGGGACAAACTCCCTTTAAAGATACAGTATGTATTAATTAATGGGATTTACTGACATAAATGTAATATATTATCCAAATGTATGTTATTTATTATCACCTATAAACTAAAAGTCTCAGTCTTTATTTTTGCCTAGCCTTGGAATTTGCTATTTATAATTACACAGGAATGGGTTTGAATTGTGGAGGCAAACATCTTTACGCTACGGCAGCACAGAGCAGACACACAGTGGCTGTAGAGATCGCCATTACAATGCATCAGTGGGAAGTGATAGGCCAGACAAATGTGATAGATATATAATCAGATATACAATCCTACACAGACTTATAAAACTGGAAACCGCCTGGTTATTATGAAGACGACCATTTTAAGAGCCAGTTGTTGCATTTCTTGGGGTTTTGTTCTGAGCGGACTTGCATCTTTCTCCTGCCCTCGGTCCACGTTTGTTTTGTTTTCGTCAGGTTGCCCAAAGCAGGGGGATGAATCACCTGGACCAACACAGGTAAGGGGAGATGGCGTTCCGGAGCTCAAGGAGAAGCAGCAGGGAATCAGTGTGAGAACAGCTTCATATGGGTTCACCATCAACCAACATAACAACATTCTTCAAAATCTCCTTTTAATACACACTCGTACTGTATGAGCTGCAGGTGGAGTGACTTGCTTCTAAGTATATGGCCATTTAGTGAAAGCTAGGTTTGAATAAAAGCTGACGGATTGCCAGCGGTGTCAAAAGTATTCACATTTGTTACTTAAGTAGAAGTATAGATACTGCAGTTGAAGTATCAACTTGAGCTCTTTACTCAAGTAAAAGTGAAAAAACATGTGCTGCAAAAACTACTTAAATTATAAAAGTATAAAGTAACCTTTAAAAAAAAACAGCCAGATGCCACTATATGAACTGAAAGCTCAATTTTTCGACTATTTCTAAAAATTCTTTGAGATAGGGCCGAGGATGAGGGAGGTCTTGTTGGTCTCCGTCTCCATTTCCCGATACGCTCTCGCCTGTGTCTGACCTTTCAGGCATTTCAACATCTTTTTCTGAATCCAACATTGTAGCATCTGCATTGGATGGAGCACATGACGTGAAATAAATATTTGTAAACATTAAACCGAAGCCGAGTAACGTTCGTCTTAAAAATTTCAGGAATAGAAAGTACAGATACCTGTGTGAAAATGTAATGAGTAGAAGAAAAATAAGTATACAGGTCCTTCTCAAGATATTAGCATATTGTGATATAGTTCATTATTTTCCATAATGTAATGGTAAAGCTTGAACATTCATATATTTTAGATTGATTGCACACTAACTGAAATATTTCAGGTCTTTTATTGTCTTAATACGGATTATTTTGGCATACAGCTCATGAAAACCCAAAATTGGCATATTTCATCCGACCAATAAAAGAAAAGTGTTCTTAATACAAAAAAAGTCAACCTTCAAATACTTATGTACAGTTATGCACTCAATACTTGGTTGGGAATCCTTTTGCAGAGATGACTGCTTCAATGTGGCGTGGCATGGAGACTATCAGCCTGTGGCACTGCTGGAGGCCCAGGATGGGTTAGAGTTTGGCGACATTTAGCTCATCCAGTGTTGGGTCTTGAGTCTCTCAACTTTCTCTTCACAATATCCCACAGATTCTCTATGGGGTTCAGGTCAGGAGAGTTGACAGGCCAATTGAGCACAGTGATACCATGGTCAGTAAACCATTTACCAGTGGTTTTGGCACTGTGAGCAGGTGCCAGTTCGTGCTGAAAAATGGAATCTTTATCTTCATAAAACTTTACAGCAGATGGAAGCTTGAAGTGCTCCAAAATCTCCTGATAGCTGCATTGGCTCTGCCCTTCATAAAACACAGTGGAACAACACCAGCAGCTGACATGGCACCCCAGACCATCACTGACTGTGGGGACTTGATGCTGGACTTCTGGCATTTGGCATTTCCTTCTCCCCAGTCTTCCTCCAGACTCTGGCACCTTGATTTCCAAATGACATGCAAAATATGTTTTTATCCAAAAAAAGTACTTTGGACCACTGAGCAACAGTCCAGTGCTGCTTCTCTGTAGCTCAGGTCAGGCACCTCTGTTTCTGGTTCAAAAGTGGCTTGACCTGGGGAATGCGACACCTGTAGCCCATTTCCTGCACACACCTGTGTATGGTGGCTCTGGATGTTTCTACTCCAGACTCAGTCCACTGCTTCCGCAGGTCCCCAAAGGTGTGGAATCGGCCCTCCTCCACAATCTTCCTTAGTGTCCGGTTACCTCTTCTCATTGTGCATCGTTTTCTGCAACACTTTTTCCTTCCCACAGACTTCCCACTGAGGTGCCTTGATACAGCACTCTGGGAGCAGCCTATTGGTTCAGAAATATCTTTCTGTGTCAGACCCTCTTGCTTGAGGGTGTCAATGATGGCCTTCTGGACAGCAGTCCAGAAGGCCAACCAGGCTGGGAGTTTTAAAGGCCTCAGGATTCTTTTGCAGGTGTTTAGAGTTAATTTGTTGAGTCAGTTAGGTGCATAGTTCTTTTGAGACCTTTTTCATGATATGCTAATTTAGTGAGATAGGAATTTTGGGTTTTCATGAGCTGTTTGCCAAAATAATCCATAGTAACAAAAATAAAATAGCTGAAATATTTCAGTTAGTGTGTAATGAATCTAAAATATATGAATGTTCACGTTTTATCAGTACATTATGGAAAATAATTAACTTTATGACAATATGCTAATATTTTGAGAAGTACCTGTAGATACCTAAAAAGTGTACTTAAGTATAGTAACAAAGTGTGTGTACATTGTTAGTTGACACCTATGCTGATTGCACAAGACGCATACATCAGTTCTGAAGCATTCGTAAAATTTGTTTGTACCTCAAAGATATTTCTCCTAAATCAGCGGTCCCCAACCACCGGGCCGCGGACCGGTACCGGTCCGTCGGTCGTTTGGTACCGGGCCGCACAGAATAATTTATCGACGATCAGAGTGTAAGTGATGTTTTATATTGAAAAATATCAAAAATTGCGGTATTCTCTCCCAATTACATCAGTCGGTGCATCTGTGCCTCTTGACACAGGTTAATTCTGTTCAAGACTCATCCTATCTATAACATCCTATCTTTGTGAAGCGGGATTTTCTGCGGTTACAGCGACCAAAACAAAGCTACATCAGGAGCACACTTCGTGTGTCATTGTCTCTGATTACGCCTCGATGGGACCGGCTTGTTTTATTTTTATGCTGTTTGTATTTGATTTAATGCCAGTCGTATCATTTTACTTGATCTCATTTATCCCCCCGGCCGCTCCGCCCCCCCCTTCTGTCCACGAAAATATTGTCTGACATATAGCGGTCCGTGGTACAAAAAAGGTAGGGGACCGCTATCCTAAATCACGTGTACGAATGATCGAATGATTTAAGAACACATTGTTTTGTACAAATGGTTTTTGCATGTGGTCCAATATAGCTAAAAAAAAATATTGTGGTTGTGCACATTTTGGGTGATGTAAGTAAAGGTCATCTACTGTTGGTTACTGACCCCAGATGGGATTTCTGTGCACTGCATCTGATTGTATACATCACGTTTTTCTTTTAACCCTTTACAGAGCAAGTAACATCATAATAACATAAGTAAAATGATATTAAAACACATAATTTCCATGCTAATTCAAAGAAAAATGGCTCTTAAAACATATTTTTGGTTCTTTTGATATAAATCTTTTCCATCTTATAAAAAAAATCATTAAAGCTTTTAATACTGGTATTAATTATAGTAAATTATTTAGCTGTTTATATACACTTTAAGAGCCGCTGGAGAGAATCCATGAGCCACATGTGACTCTGGAGCCGCAGGTTGCAGACTCCTGCTCTAAGGTAACAAAAAAATATGTGTTCTTTACTAATTTCTTATAGAAGCAATTTTGCTGGATTCCAATAACACTATTGGCATGAAATTATGATTTTCAAATTATTTCCCTGAGTGCCCTTTAAAGGGTTAAGAAGAAAAAATAACACTAATCATGTAAAAAACAAAAAAACAAAAACTTGTCTATTACATATGATACATTTGATGTTACAGAGTCAAAAAAAGAATAAGTACAAAAATTACGCATTGAGTTAAAATTAAACTGACTTTCGAGCTCCATAAAATTTGTTAGGTCAATTTATTCAAAATGTTGTAAACCATCTTTATGCAGCACATGGTTGCAGTCGCTCCATCATCAGTTGTGGCTTCCAGGTTTGGGTTTGTTCCTGAGGTAAGGTCCGTTGTTTTTCACATTTTAACCATTTATACACACTGATTTTCGTCATCGTAGACAGACGCTGCCCCGATGAACATTCTAGATAAAACATCTTGCAACATGTAACCACCATTAATCTCAGATACACAGATTGTTGTCTGAAAATGTTTAAGTATAAATATCTCAATGTCAGGTTTTCTTTCTTTGATTATTGAAGGAGGCTAATAATATGGCATTAAACTAATGAACACACCTGACTTTATCAAATGCAAGGTCCAAATGTGGTCAAGTCTTCTGTGAAAGTTTGTCTGATAGTCACATCAAAAACCTTGCTATATTAGATGGTTCCTCTCTGTCATCAAGCTGTTTAGGATGTCAGATCTTCTCAAAGTCCTCATGAAGCATCTCTTCAATCTCTCTGTCCCAGGCCTCATCCTGGACCTCATTCTCTGCCAACACGTCGTACTCCTCCAGCTCCTCCTGCAGCTCTCTCTCCCATTTAGGAATATCATCTGGGGACAGAAAGCTTTAATATTTAAAAATATAAAATAAGAAATTAGAAATGTGTTCTACTCCAGTTGAAGGCAAATATTTACCCTGCTTTTCCTGCAGATGTTCTTTTTTGTCTAAGACCAGAAGCTCTGTACGTTTGGCCAGATCCTCTTTATTTATTGCTGAGGATTTCAAAGCACTGCTTATAAATTCAGACCCAGGTGAACTGATGGAGACCTTCGCTTCATCCTTAACAGTAAAACAGACGTGGAAAATGTGACATTTAGTTTTTCCTGTATAAAGGAAGAGTTATGGTCACATTAAAGCTATTAAAACATTTGTGTTACCTTATGTTGTCTGGGTTTTTGTGCGACTGGAGGGCACTGACGTTTAACTGGATCTAAAAAATATGAAATTATCTTGTAAGGGACTTTGATTTCTGCATGTGGAGGCTGGAGCCCCATAGTGGTAAATTTTTCTTTCTTTTCCTTTGAGTTGCCATGGTTGGAGATGAGCATCTTTTGGACTGAGAAAGGTTAAAACTGGTCACTGGCTCATTAAGCCCTACCATGTACCTTAAATTAGTTTAAATGTTTGCCTTAGTTAATTGTCAGCCATCTTGTTTTCTGCTTTGGACAAACTACTATATAAGTTGCCCTCATGTGTCCTTGTGTTAGGTCAGTTTTCCTTGGTTAAGTTTGCTTTGTTTGCTAAGTTAAAAGTTAAATATTTTTAGATTCAGTTGACCTCTTTTAAATGTATTTTTGTATTGTTTTGTATTTTGTTAATTTATTTTGGGTCAATAAAAGCCAATATCTTTGTAATTACCTCCTGTGTCCCCTTGCCTTACTGCTTGGTCCCTGACACTGCAGCTTTTTCACATTTTGCAATGTTACAAGCACAAACTTAACTATGTTTTACTGTAATTATATAGAACAGGCTAACACAAAGAGGGTTTGGTGACATCAAATTATAACTTTTAGATGGAAAACGGACAGCACATCCCCCTGAGCATACAATTATCATGGTTAAACATGGTGGTGGCAGTATCATGCAGTACTGGGAATTGGATTGAGGTTCGCCTTACAAAACAATGACCCTTAAGCTGTAAGAGCTTTTCCTTTCCTTAACAGGATTTGGTAAATAGGGTCAGTGTTCAGATGAAGGAAGAGGTAGAGAAATACCCCATTAGACTTGTGGATGAGGTTGCAACAAAATCAGATTTTCCCTCTTTTTTGACTCAGTTATGCAGATTGAAATTGCACACCACAATTTTCAGATTCTGACAGCTACTTGTGTTCATTTAAACAAATAAGTGTGAGTTTGATATTGGGATGATGGCATAGATTCAGGGTTTGTTTGTGGGAAATTGTTTGGGTCCCAAGGAAGGGTGAGTTGCTGTATGGAAGCCAGTTTCAGCCATTCTCATTTAAAAAAAAAACTTATATATCTCATAAATAAGTATGAGCTAATTCATAATTTTAAGATATGTTTTGCTTTTTATTTCCATTTCATTATTATGAGAGAGTCTCATATTATTATGGGATACTGTCTCATAGTTGTAAGGTATACAGTATGTTTGTTTTTTTAAATCATGAGGGCGGCTCAAACAAGCTTCCATAGTTGCTGGTTTTGAGAAGATTAGGTCCCGATTTATTTTATTTTGTTTATTTAGTTGCTGTTGTGGTTGAGCTCTTTGTAGTATGAATAATCATCCCCCCGTTCCCACTAAAATATCAACAATAAAAAATGGCAGGCAGTGGACTGTACCTGAGTGAGACTCTGAAGCCTGCTGTGCTGTTAGGGCCGTGAGCTGAGCTGACTGTTTAATCAAAGACACTCGATAGAAGTAATTCCTCCAGAATCTTTCCTCATTCACCCTAAAAAAAATCCAAAAACATTTCCCATTCAGATTTTTTTATTACTATAAACTCACATAATGAACACTGAGTCACAACGTAAACAAACTAGTGACAAATTCTCACTCTCTGGGGACCAGATGGAAACGCATCTTCTTGAGGAGCTCGTCCTCCTCCAGCATCACCAAGGCGACGGGATAGGACTGCTCAAGGTCAAAGGGAAATTGGACGCCGGCGGGGGGGTCTCGAAGAAAATTCCTCCTGTCCTGCAATCAGTCGAGCTCATATAACTGGATTACTGTTTTTTTTTTTTCCTCAATCAGAACAGTCTATTTATGCTGGTGAATATTCTCAGTCATCCAGGTCATATTCACTCAAAAAGTGTTAAAAAACAATCCACTGGACTTTGTTTCCAAGTTTGGAGACATTTCACTTCACATCCAGGAAGCTTTTTCAATTTCAAAATGTCAGAATTAGCGTTGAGTTCGAAGCTTTATATTGTAGCCTAAAAACTGGTTTTGGTTTAGAAAAGATGCAGGTGGACAATATAGTCTTGTCCTTAAGAACAAGGGACACCCATGTGAGGACCAGAATGTTCACATTTTGGACAAAGAAGACAGGTGGTTTGAAAGGGGTGTGAAGGACATCAAGAATAACCAACCTTATCAAAGGGGGTGGACTCAGGTTTCAGCTCTCAAATACCTACAATTCAGTGATAGAGTTGATTTCATCCTGCTATCATTTCAACCCCTAAACCTAATGCAGGGGACAAAACATCTCGCCTGCAGCCAGGCCAGTAGTTGCCCCTAACGACCCCCCCCCCCCCCCCCCGACCAGTTCTGGGTATCGCAGACTAACAAAGAACCCAAAACGACTCCCCATTCCTGTGGTCATATCGGCTCGGGGCCCTGTGCATGGCAGGGACGTTACGCTACATGATTGGCTGAACGTTGCCATGTGATGTAAAGCATAGTGGTTGCCCAGACAACGATAATAACATCATGCAGAATCCGTGTGCCGAGTCAGGAGCATCCTTAGTTTCACAGATGAAGTTCTACCTGATCGATTAGAAAACAGAAAAAAAAAAGTTTATGGTAAGAAAAGTAACTGTTAGACCATGATATAAAGGGGAGAGCTGGGTAGCGCTTTGGCTAGCTGTGCTCAGTAGCTAACAGGTTAGCCTGTTTTAGCTCGCTCAGTTAGCCATATTAAGCCATACTATTGAATTTGTATCAAAAAACCTGTTAATTTCCTACAAGTAGAATAACGGTTTTATTTGTCTAAAATTTTTACGAAAGTCATTTTTTAAGATGTCCCATTTGTCCTCCTCTGCCCTCAGATCTTAATAAAAAGAATAAATATAAGCTGAGACTTTTAGTGTCTCCTTGTTAAATGGCAGAGCTCAGTGTGTCTTAGAACGCAGTACTTTCCTTCGAGACTGACAATGATTGTTTTCTACTTTCCGCTTCTTTAGATCGCCAATGAACTGTAAAATAATAGCAAATATAGGTAATAATATTTTGAAACTCCAAAAGAGATTCGATCCTTAAGAAATGGGTGCAATACAGGAGTTGCAATATATTGACATCATAAGAAGGGGCAGATCTGGTACCTACAGCGGACCCATTCTTCTGGCTCAATTTGCATGTTTTTTAAGCCAAAACAAGTTTTTGGTCGACTCTATCAAGCCTCGAACTCAACACTAATTCTAACATTTTAAATTAAAAAAGCTTTCTGGATGGGAAGCAAAACGTCTTCAAACTTGGAATCCAAATTTAGTGGATTTTTTTTTTTTTACTTTTTTGGAAGAACAGTGTATCGTTGACGTTTTCATCATACTGACAGCTGAGAGGGCTAAAATTTGCTCCTGCATGATGTCTTCTTCATCATATCCAACCCATGGTGGCACAGCCGCACCTGGAAACAATAAGTTATTTAGATAATCAATAAAGGCGAGACCTGATCAATCATCCCAGTGTTATGTCCTGTTTAGTGGATTAGCCAAACTGCACAGTGATGAATGTCATTCCACTAGTTTGACACCAAATCTCCATTCAGTAGTGATGTTATGAGATGAGCCGAGGCTTCGAGGTGCGTGTCAGGTACTGGAGGGGGACGTTTCCACGAGGCGCGTATCGAGGCATGCTTCATTTGGGGGAGGAGACAAAATAGATGACGCCCGCAGCCTCTCTAACCGCTATACCAAATGACCGATTTGGGAAGCGGTTCAGCTCGCCCACAAATTTGACAGGCATTTAAACAGCCTCTGTGTTCAGTCAAGATGTGGGAGTTTGTAGGAGAATTGGATACAGTTTGGATAAGTTCTATGAATAGAACTTCCAATCTGGTTGGAAAAACAACCAGTCTAGTTGGTTAAAACTAGTTCTTTTTAGATTAAATAATGTAATGATCAAAATCTGAGCAAACCACTGATCAGAGATGTAATGGGTAGTAAGTAGTATTGCTTTTTATACATATGTTATCTAAGTACTGGCATCAGCTGTAAAAGATGGACTTTCTATCTGTGGGTTGATGGTTCAAGACCCACCTCACACTTTTAGAAGTTGCAATAAAACACAAGTATTTTGGCTAATGTGACTCATTTGTATTTGTTGGTAAAATCACAAAAAAATTGATTGGTGGGTTTAACCAAATGACTTAAATTCCTACCCAATTAAAACAAAAAACTGGAAAAACTATTATGTTTAAATAAAAATGACTAACACCTTTAATTTGCACAAAGACTTTCACTGTCTGCTTGAGCTTATTTTACTTAAATGGCAGAAAACCGATGTACCTTAAATTATTTTTCTCTTCTAAGACATTTTACACCCAAAAAACTTAAAGATTTTATTATACAGCTCAAACATTCCAAAACCACAATTATATTACTAACTGTAGTTCTGCCCTCCACCAGTAGGTGGTGACATTTTCACATGAAGCTTCTTTAAATATGGGGATCCTCACTAGCATTCAAAGCACTCATAACACTTGCATTCAGGTCAAACTTTTGCTGAATTTGGTTACTTACCCACTTTTTTAGCTTCTCTCTCAAGAACAAACCTTTGCTGCTCTTTCTGAAAATCCCCCAGCATGCTCTGCGGGTAGGAAAATAAGCAGTAGGAGACTCCTCCGGTTGTAATAAAAACAGCCCAACCAGAGGATTATTTACCTTATCAATAATCTGGTTAAGTTTGCCCTCCTCCACGCTTTTCCTCAGACTCTCTGCTGTTTCTAACATGGTCTCAGTCAGCTTCTTAGAGGCTTTGTTGGCCAAACTGATCATGCTCTCTGAAAGAAAGCTCAGCTGAGTTGGTAGAGAAACATAAAAGGAGAACATTGGTTTAAAAAGGCAGACTTACTGCTAAAACTTTCAGCTTTCTGAAGAAGTGGGGGTTCTTCTGCGTGTTTTTCACATGTAACGGTTTGCTTTTCTTCATCACTGTCCCTCCTCTTATCAACATGCTCGAGTTCTTCTGAAACTTCGACATTTTTGTTTCCTTGACCCAACCAGACTCCCCAGTTCTTTAGCATCACTTTATTCTAAATGTTTCTGAGAATATAAGTTTGTTATGGGTTTAAATAATCGTGTATTAGTAGCTGACAGGCGTCTAAACGCCTATTTACTTCCGCGAACCGGGTTTGAGTTCCCTTTGAGGAAGGGACCCC